CCCCCCTTTCTCTCTCTCCTCCCCCCCTCCCGTCCACTCTCTCTGAAAAGCACTGGAAAAAATATCCTTGGGTGAGGATTAAAAAAATAAACAAATAAAATAAAATAAATCAAGAAAGCAATGTTCTCAAGCCGTGTCCCAACACAGTGCATAGCAATCACATTGTAAGTGTACCAAGTAATCTGCTATTAATAATGTAGTACATAAGTTTGTAAATGATTATTTAATAAACCAAAACAGATCATCAGTTGTTCCCCTCATACTGCTTTCACTCATTTGAATTTAAGGTTTGCTCTTTTGGATAGAAGAGAAAGAACTGATATTACAGAGAGCCAGCAACGAACTGCATACGACCAGGCCCTTATAGTTAACCATTAATTAATAAATGACACTCCTACTTCTTTACAAGGTTGTTATTAGGTTTCACAATATCTGGCTGTGCCTTGGAAGTCTTCATTCAAGTAAACACTGTTACCCATACATGTATCATTGGGGATAAGTAAAGAACTATATATACTAGGACACAAAAATCACTTTGTTCCTAAAAGTATCTGTTCTAATGAATTTTATCCCTGTATAAGAGCCCTAAAACCTCATTACCTCAGTCAAGTAACATTTTCCTTAACACCCCAAACTAAGCTTCAAGTTCAAATTTCACATCCTCAGTTTCAAAATCCCATACATAACTGTTGTCTTCAGTGACTCAGACAATTCCTATCCTTAGTACCCATTTCAAAACTATTCGATTACGTCTCCTACTGTAGGAGCTAAAAGATTATCCAGGAGATGGGAAATTGGCCAAATACAGTCTGACAAAGTCTGTTAATAGTATTTTAATATAGAACTACATATCTTTTTAATGAAAAGGATCTTTAAAACTAGTTAGGTAACAAGCTAGAAACCACAAAAAGAGTTATTTTAAAATTCATGCTTAACACTTATTTCAAAATGAAATAATGAAATATAAAAGATCTGAATACTAAAAAGAAAACAATCATTTTTAAATTAAAAATATAATTTATTACTTACATTTTCTGAATCATAATAATGAACAATGCCTTTAGTATCAAAAATAGTTGCTAGGGATATCTAATAGCTTATGTTTCTCTACCTATTGATTTCTCTTTATTTGTATAGTGATGGTGGGAGGGCAGGACTCAAGGTCTTAAGTGTTCTTTGGTATAGAACATCAATTTCTATTGATTCTTGAAACTCTTATAATTGCTTTTCTCCACTTTAGAAGACTGCAGGTTTAAAATACATACTTTTTCTAACCTTGATTTTTAACTTCTCATTATTGTTGTATCATGTCTGAATCTCATGAGTCCATGAGTTTAGAAGGGAGATATAAAGCATTTCACCTCAAACTTTAATTCAATCAGCAGCGAACAAAAGTTAAATCTAAACAATGCTCAATGGTAATGCATGAAATCACAGCCAATTGTCAGTTGCCCCATTGGTGGACTCCTCAGGCCTTTCAATTCTTGTATGTTGTATTGCTGCCTTTTTTCCCTGCCTTGGTCAGATCCGCGTCATAGTCTGAGGCAGCTCCCCTTGTCCAGTCATTTCCTCCCTCTTCCTGTCATTGGTGTTTCTCTGTAATAAACGGTTTGCACACTTAACTCCATTTTATTGTCTGCTTCCTAGGGAACCCAGATATTAGGAGGATCTAAGTCATCCTGACTATTGATATCTTTTCTCTGAATGTTGATGAGAAAGCTATTCTTAGCTTAAGAATATTTTCTTAAAGATGGAGCATATTTTTTATTTCGTCAACTATCAAACCATACTGAGTTTGTTTAGCTTCTTGTAAATATACAGCTTCGCCAGCCATCCTAGGGGAACACTTTGTTCTGAGGCCTGGCATTTCATGGGTCACCTAATTCTTTTCCAGTCATGATCACCATCCTACCTAACCTTGTCTGTTTCCTGGAGTAGCAAGGAATGGTCAAATGAGCAACAGAGAAAACTATTCTTAAAATGTGTTATAAACTCCGTTTAGTTTAATGTGTCAAATGCAAGAGTATTATGTGCAATTTTAGCACAGTTCACTTTTTGGAAGACTCTTGCTGAGTCTTAGCCTTCTTTAGTGATCTCCCAATCAATACGACCCTCACTTCATGTTCAAGAAATACTAAAGAAGAAAAGAAAAGGCAGCTGTCTGTTAGGTTATACAGGATTTATTTGGTATCTTCAAAAACCAATCTGAGAAAATTTTCCACTCACTGATTTTAGCTGAGCCACCGAGAAAACAAGAAAATCCTTCTGCAAAATTCTCAATAAACTGATATTATCTAAAGACCTGAAGCGTGAAACCTGGATTACAACAGTTGACCAAAAAGCTAGAATGCAATGTCTACAAAAACTAAGTAAAAACATAAAAAGTGTACCAATATAATATTTACTTCAGTTATTTTGGTAATTTGACAGTGCATAAATCATGTACATATGCAATGGTAAAGATAATTATAAACTAAACTGGTAAGTTAAGAATGAAAATGTTAAGCTCTTAATTCTATTTGTAATATTTATATAGTTTGTAGATTTTTTTACATCTTTCTTACCAATAATGACTGGGTGTGTTTTTTCATACACTACAGAATTAAATTTTTTAAAAAAAAAACAAAACACAGATTGAAAGTTCTAAAGGTCTGTGACTGACTGAAAAACTTCAGACTTAATTATATGGAAATTTTGACATAGTAATGACTTGAGTACAAAGAATTAAATGTGATTCATGTAGTAATATCTTCACTTTATTGCAAAAGCCAAAAAGTGGGCTTTTTCATTTATTTCAAACATTTAGATTCACTGTGTGAGACAGCACACATGGCCACAAGTAATTCTGCCTCCCAACATCACCATTTGCAAAGACACTTAGCTGCTTCTTCCATCAAGAGGTTAGAGTTTATCCACTTACTGAATCTGTGCCAGCTCCTGACTTGCTTTAGCCAATGAAACACCAGCAAACATGATACGAAGAGAGACCTGAAAAGTTACACTGAGGCTTGCCACTTTGCTAGTATTAGATCTCCATATCACTATGCGAACAAACACTTGAGCAACCATGTGGAGAGAGACCCCAGTCATTACAGCTGAGACCACTCTGAGCCAGCCAGCCCCAGCCAGTCTACCTGCTGACTGCAGATGCGTAAGTGAACCTAACCAACATAAGCTGACACTGGCGCAGATGAAAAAAAAATCTACCCAGCTGAGCCCAATCCAAATTGCCATCCTGCAAAATAGTGAGCTAAATATATGGTGGTTGTTTTAAACCACTAAGTTTGGGTGATTTTGACAGGGCAATAGATTACTGATGTAACTATCTATAGCTTTTTACTGTTTACAAAACATTTACTATATCACTGAACAAGTGGAGTATACATGAGCACCACTGTGAAGAAAATGTAATCACCTATCAGCATCTGGACAATGATCATTCTTCAAGTCGGCCTTTTCTGGAAAGTCTTCTTCTAACTAGGTAATTAGAATAGCCAAGAGGACATTTCAGAGGGCAGACAGCAATGAACATGGAATCTTAACAGTTCATCCACATAAAAATGTAAAGACCACATCCTGAAAGTAAACTGTACATTTTTTACTTAACTTTCTTAGACAAAATGATTTGAGGATTCAAGGTTCAAATATTGTATTAGTGATTATGGTCTAAGAAATTATTTGGGATTTTTTTTAACCTACCTAGAAATTTACTATGGCAAAATGTGGTACAAGAAAACTTTAACTGTCCAATATCCTATCTTCCCAGAAATGTTTAGTTTCAAAGGTCTGACTAAATACATACAGTATTTCTTAGGACCTACCAACAACAAACATTACCAAAAAGGCTGGTGATTATTATGCTATGGTTAACATGCTATGATTTGTTTGGCTTATATCACAACAGAAAAATAATGTTGACAGGCTAGTAATACACATATATGAGGTGAATCTTTTGTTGTATAATAATTCGGACGGACTTTGCCCCTGGTTTCTACAAGGAAGCTGGGCTCCTCACCTGAGTTTATACTAACAGATGACTCAGGGTGGGCCCCTAGACAGTTTAAAGATGGGGGCTGGCCATGTGGAAAATATAAACCATGAAATTAGAGGACTGGGGCTTTGAGCCACAGGTATCAGCCTGACTTCAAAACTGGGGAAAGGGGGAGGCTAAAAACTGAGTTTAATCAAGTGGCAAATGATTTAATCATTCCTATGTATGAAACTCCAATAAAAACGAACACACAAAGTTTGAGTAAGCTTTCTCGTTGGTGATACACACTGATATGCTGAAAGGTGATGGATCCTGAGGACACAGAGCTTACTTACCTTTGGGACTCACTCAGACCTTACCCTATGGGCATCTTCATTTGGCTGGTTCTGATTGTATCCTTTATAATAAAACTATAATCATAAGTATAGTGCTTTCCTAAGTTCTGTCATTCATTCTAGCAAATTATCAAACCTAAGGGGGGAGTGGAAATGTGTAGCCAATTGGTCAGAAGTGTGGGTGGCCTGGAAACCCTGGAGACTGCAGCTGGTGACTGAGGTGAGGGGTGTGTTGTGCAGGACTGTGCCTTAACCCGTAAAATCTGCCCTAACTCCAGGTAGTGTCAGAATTGCACTGCATGTGGGAAAAGCCACTAAATACCAGAGACATAAGAAAAGCAGAGAGAAGACAGGTTAATAGACAACAAAAGTGATAGAATTAGGAATAATCACAGAAGCGGTTACCCATGGAGTCAAGAGTGAAAAAAAAAAAGTATTAAAGGCAAAAGAGACAATCAGAGATGACAGTGGGAGAACTGACAGGGACAACAGAAGTGAGGTCAGGGAGTTAAGACGGCAAGCAACACGTCCACCTAACAACCTGGAGACTCACTGATTCACTTACCGACTATCTGTTAATTACCTGCTACATGTAAGGCACTGTGCCAGGTACTAAGGGCCCCTCTCATGAAGTCTACATTCTAGAGGCAAGAGAAATGCTACACCGTGTAGTTGTTATTGTGATACGTGTTGCAAAGGATAAGGCTATGACTGGATGAGGGTTTCATAAACACTATACAGATCAGTAATAAACTCAATCTACAGTCCTAAGACCTACACACCTTATCTCTATTTGCAAATCTACTCAGCACAACATTATGCATGTTACCAAAGTAGTACAGAATGTACATTTTATTTTTTTTATTATAGTTGACATACAATTTCATATTAGTTTCAGGTGTACAACACAGTGACTTCCGTATATCTTACAAAGTGATCATAATAATTCTAAACCATCTGTCACCATAGTTATTATATTACCGATTCTATTCCCTTTGCTGAATAATATTCATTTTAAAGGGTCTTCATCAAAACAAAAAATTCAAATTAAATACTTACCTTCCACTAAATAGTACATTCCCTTAGGTACCTAACTTTTTTTTTTTTAAATATATCTTTATTGATTTCAGAGAGAGGAAAGGAGAGAGAGAGAGAGAGAGAAACATCAATGACGAGAGAGTCATTGATCGAGCCCACAACCCAGGCGTGTGCCCTGACCGGGAATTGAACCCCGATTGCCTAGGATCCCAGGTCGACGCTCAACCGCTGAGCTATGCCTGGCCGGGTTAGGTACCTAATATTTAAATATTTTCCATATTTGTTCATCAAATTTAGGTTCACCTTAATATATAGTTATAACCTCACCCAAATTTTAAAGTCATACACTTCCTCTAAACTTACAAAAAAATAAATAAATTCTGAGCTGTTAAAAAAAACCCTCAAACAAAAGTAAACATCAAATCACCAGATATGACACCCTGACTTCTGAGCAAAAAAGACTTCGGATACATATTTCATCAAGATTTAGAGGTCCATTTCTACTAAATGTTGATAATGACCAGTTTTTAAATTTTAGAAAAGATGGATTGATTTTGAAGTTATTTTTAATATAAAATTCTCTAAAAACTCTTTCCAAATAATAGTCAATTGGACCACTAGCGTTTCTTACCTGTAGGCATCTAACCGAACCAGAAATCGTACAATATCGTGATGAGCTTTCAGGACAAGCAGTTCAGTGTAGGGGTTCTGGGTTTGTTCCTCACCTATTGTCTGTAAAGGAGATTTCTTGTATTGGGAATAAAATAAAAAAAGTCAAAACAAAAGAGAGAGAAAATAATTTATGATAAAAGTCATATTGGAATAAAACTTCATGGTATACATCTAAGAAAACGAGTTAAAAACGCTGTAAAATATCATGTTTTAATACTACATACAGGGTGGGGCAAAAGTAAGTTTACAGTTGTTTGTATGGAAAATAATATAATAAAAAATACAAGAATAAACTCTGTGTTTCATGTACTCACAACTGTAAACCTACTTTTGCCACACCCTGTATTATTTCCCCTAATACCAACTGACTGCGAATTTAACAGAAAACATTTTTCTTACCACAAATCCACACCATAAAGTTCAGTATTTTCAAGTCACAATAAATTTACAAAAAGGTAAAATTTTATTTTATGAAATTATATTTCAATAAACCTGACCTAAAAAATTAATGGACCAAGCCAACTCAGTATTTTAAAATGGGTGTTTCTCAGTTGAAACTTGGCACAAACAAACCTGCAGGTCAAAGGGGTAAAATATAAAACAGACTAAAGTAGTGCCTAGCCCATTGTAGGCACTCATTATATATTTGCTTATTGAGTAAAGGGAGGAATGAAATTATTTAAAGTCAATGAATTCAAGGAAATCAACTTTGAAAAAAAATATTGATAAAGATGATTGCTAACATTCACAGAGTATTAGGTGGCAGGCCATGTGCCAAACACTACGCACAGCGCATATAGCATATAACTCAGTAACTCTGTAAGGTAGTTCTTATTAACCCCATTTCTGTAGTCCAACCCACTACTATTTCATAAAACCTCTGTTCTTAACCTCTAAACTGCAGTTTTTCAAACTTGACACTACTTAAGGGCTGTCCTGTGCTGTAGGACGTTCAGCAGCATCCCTGGTTTCTACATTAGATGTCAATAGAAATTCACCCCTACCCCAAACTGTGACGATCAAGAACGTTTCCGCACATTGCCAAATGTCCCCTAACGGGCAAAATTATCCCAGCAGGGAAACGCTCCTTAAATTAGGGGCTTAGATTCAAAGTTCTTGCATAAATTAAGGCAAATCATTGGTTCTGATCATGTACAAATTCACAGCTGTTATAAAACTGAAGTACCTTTACATGAAGAAATGTGCAACTTAACATGCATAAATGTCTTCCAAAAGTATCCACCCCAAAGCAGTAATCTTTTATTTATCCCACCTCCCTTCCAGCAGTGAAAATCCACCGCGAGAAACCTGAGAACTATGTACCAGTTTCCCCGGAGGGAAGCCGTGC